CTTTATACATCATTGACTAATGATTTTACTGAATTCAAATACCTGCAAGAAGTAATACAGGAAAGATTTCCTCTATTGTTTTAACTTTATTATATTTTACTTGTTATAGATATTCTAACTCAGTTTGGAGAAAGTGTTTAAAAGCTAACAGCTACTTTGATCATGGCCCCACTTGGACTAACTATTAACAGGCCAGAAATGTTCAAAGAGGGAAGATCATACCTTTCCACAAAACTCCACTTCAGACAATCTGAACTATCCCTTTAAGGCTTCGACTCAAATTTTCTCTTTGTTGTACTGTTGCACCAGATTGCTTTACCTTCAGGTTTTGTCCCTGCTTTAATGCTGTCTGAACACCTGACTTAAAAACATGATTCTCCCCCCTCAGATTGTTGCATAAAGTTGCCCCTCACAGGATGTGCTTGCATTAAGCTTAAACTGTGAACATATGAACACACATATGCACACTTAGCTCCGCATTGTCTTCTGCAACCAAAGAATATCAAACATCAAACTGACTGGCTTCTTTGCGCCCTTGCCTTTGATATAAAGAGAGAAGCTGGCTGATTTTTAATTATTTCTCAACTGGATACTATTTAAATAGGCTGGGTTTGACAAAAAAAAAGCCTGAATGTTCTATTATTTCTACCCTTTATTTATTTATTACTTTTTGTGAGATTAGTAATTACATTCTGCATTCATGAAAATAAGAAACAAGTTCTTTGTTCCTTCATTTATCTATTTCAACTGAATGCTTTTCTCTGTTGTGACAAGATAAACAGCATTATTATATTGTCTTTCTCTGCTACACTCTGGTCAATAATGCAGTTTTAGTGGCAACAGGAGCATGACTGGCAAGCAAAATATATGTTTGGCGATCATTAAAAAACAACAAAAAAGACAGGGTTAATAGGGTTCACTTGCATTTGACAACTTGGAGTTTGAAGCACTAGCAATAAAAAGCAGCTTTATTAAACCTGAGTTCCCTCATAAACAGCATAAAACTATATTTCTGAAAATGTATGCAAGGATTTGAGATTTGTTTATATTTTGCAGTCCAGCTACAAATGCTAAAACAGTTCAGCTCAGATTTTTTTAAATAAAAGTACTGACACATGAAATTTAAGGCAAAATATTAAAGTAATAAWTGCAATTTCAAGTCTGGAATAGGGGAATGCTTTGAAGCTGTTGTGCACATTTGATTAGTGTCATTCCAAGTAATTATACAGCAGACAGAGCATGCAAAAACATATTGATGCACCAGTGAGCAATTAGTTATTAAAATGGAAAAAGACAACAAAACATCATTTGTACACAACATAAATTGATGATATCATGTGACAAACCTATTTCTAAAAGGGTTGTGGATGTCATTGAAATGACTTTTAAACTACCTAAACCTGTTTTCTTATCATGAATATTATGGGAACTTATAGAAGAAAAAAATAAATAAAAGGTTTTCTGGAAGGAGGGGGAAAGTGTACATTTTCAGTTTGCTGCACACAACACATTAAAAAATACGATTAGAACAGGAGGAACAACAAAAAACTCCAAACCAAAACAATTAAAATGCCATAGGATGTTTGACTTATTATTGACAATTAAATTAATGTGCTGACATTGGTCCACATGGTTGGAAAATACAATAAAAACACAAATAAAACACTCAAACTTGGACTATTGACCATTTGCAGTCATCTGGCCAGCACTTCAAACCTGTTAACCTCCGAAAACATTTCCATTATAATGAATTGCAAAAAAATAAAATAAATAAATAAATAAAAAATACACCTGAAACAAAAAAAAGGCCAAAAAAAAGGTCTGAATTAATTGGGAAAATTGCCAAAACTGAAAAAAAGGTAATGCAACACAGTGGTGAACATTTTCCTATTTTAAATTTGGTTAGTAACTGAGAATTTGCATTTACAATTCAAAATCATTTTATTTGCTACCTATGTATGAAATAAATAATGCAAATCATTTACAAATCACTGTGCTTTGTTCTGTTTTAGTTTCCACAGAAGTAGAGTGGGACAGTTAGCCACGGACACATCAGTGAATTCAGGTATCTGTCCACCAGATGAAGCGTAATTATGAGAAACAAACAGCTTGTTACTTTGCTTTATTCTGTCTCTATTTTCTAAGCTGCCCAACAGTTTTTCCTTTTCTTATTTTCGTCTACCAGCTGCCGTCTGCATGCAGATTAGATCCCGTCTCCCCAAAGCCTTGGCATTAACAGTGACGTGTGGCATCCTCACCTCACATTGCAGGACTGAGAGTCTTTGAGTTTGTGGAACCAGGACTGCTGGGCCTGGCGGCTTTCTGCTCTTGTGATCACACCATTTTTATCCAGGCCAAGGAAAACTGACCTCGCCTTGTCTCTTTCCTTTGCGGTCAGTAGACGCACCAGTGAGTTCTATTAAACAAACAAACAGGGAAAAAAAGGAAATAATCCTAAAAGTGAGTGAGCCCACTGTACGTGTTTCATTCCACCTTCACTTCCATCCACTTTCAGTAGCAAAGGAATTATTTATGGCTTTTTGGTTAAACCCTTCTCAATCACATTAGTAATGACTGATATAATTTGCAAGTGCTGCTTTACCCCTGAGATGCTTATTGTTTGCTAAAAGCAATTTTTATCCCCTAGGCCATAGAAAAAAAAAACAAATATTAGAAGTGTTCTGTGGTTCTCACTGACAATAAAACTACTAATTAAAACAGCCAGAACCTAAGTTTTTTACACTTAGACGATTATTATTTTTTTAATTTAAAAAAATATTCGTTTCACAAAACAAATGCTATACATACAACAAATAATAATACAACACAAATAAAATGGAAGGTAAAAAAAGAAAAACATTCTCATTGATATCTGCCCCTTTTTCAAAAATAAATAAATTGAAACAATAATAGTCTCCAAATAACAAAACATAACAAAAAGCTTTAACTCCTTCTCGAACAACAGTTCTTATGAATGCACATTATACATATTCATATTTCTTCAACAAACTAATTTTTATCATTCTCTTAAATAAATTTATTGAGCCAGCATTTTTATAATCACTTTCCAGATTATTCCACAATCTTATTCCTTGGACTGAAGTACATCGGTCCTTCAAATTTGTTCAAATTTTGGGCTTCACAAACAYCTCTATACCCTTAAGATTATAATTACTTACTCTCTTAAAATTTAATTGAATATTTAGAGGTAATACATTTTTATGAGCTTTATACATAACCTACAAAATATTATGATCAACCAACTCATAAAATTTCAATAATTTCACTTGACAAAATATGTTTGATGGGTGACTGTAATGTTTTCTGGTGATAATTCTTACGTCTCTTTTCTGTAAAATAAAGATGGGATTTGTAATTGTTTTACAGGCTTTTAGCCAGACTTCAATACAGTAAATCAAATGTGGAACAATTATTGCATTATATAACATAAACAAAGCTTTGTCATTAAAGAAGTCCCTTTACTTTATACAATACTGCAATGGATTTAGCTATTTTTGTTCTTAAATGCACTCCAAATTATCAATTAGGAGTGCATTGTTCAATCAAAGAGAATAAAATGTTGTCTGCAATTTTGTGATCTAACTAAAACGGTATGCATTTCTTAGAATTGCAACAGGTCAGGGGTCTCATTTATAAAGGATTGCGTGGAAACCATACTAAAAGTGAACGTAYGGCCAAAAGGCGGAAATGGTGTACACCAAAAAAAAAAAAAATCAGATTTATAAAACAGTACGTGCGCACGTTTCTGCGCATCTTTCCTTTATAAATCACAGCCGCACATCAGAGTTTGCGCACGAGGTCCCGCCTCAGGTTCCACCTTCTACACGCCCACACTCAACCATAAACAGTCAATGCAAAGTACCTCATGAATGTTTAGATGTATTTTAATCAGTCAGCTGATCAATGCCAACAAGATTGGTTCAGTCACGCTCGTTCGTGTGTCTGGAGGATGACAGGTGCTGACTGACAGCTGCTCACGTGAACAGATTGTCTGTAATTGAC